AAGAAGGGTAATATACCATGAGGGTTACTAGAAGGATTCCTACAAAGGCTACAAAGGGCTTCTTAAACGTTTAGGTTTGGGTTTAAACTAGTCAAGAGGCAGAGTGGTACATATGTGTGTCCGCGCCTTGCGTACTGACATACCCGCGTACATGCATGGATACATAAAGACGTACAGCCATACATCCATACATACACAATTGTGCACACATTCACGGCGGTGCCTTGCGAGACCATCCCCTAAAGCCTGAACCCGAATGTAGGGGCCTTAATGATTAGACTAACGCTTTGGGATATATGATACTATCGGTATAGTAGGGAACACCCAAAATGATATTGGCAATTATTTAGGCATCTGTATTAAGCCAGCTGCTGAAATCTCAGGGTCGCACACCAGGCGATGTCGATCTTGGCCTGTGCTTCATCTTCGCACGTCGGGGCCCGACGAAGACAAGTTCAGGCTTTAGGATTGTGGCTTAGGGTTTGGGGCCTTAGGATGTAGGCTTGAAATTCCGGGTCGATAGGGCTTATTTTAGGCAGCTCGCTGTAAGAATACGATGAACCTATCGAACTTCCCAGCCCTGAAGCACAACAGGTGAGGAGATATGATGCTGCGCGTAGTCTGGATCTGCATCTCGGGTCCAGCGGTTGATGGGCTGGTCTCGGACCGATGCACAAACTTCGTTGCTGATCATGAACGGCTCTGCCGGATGGTCAGCGGGACTAATTCTAAGTAACCGTGCGCATTGTGTCTACTCGCCAGCTGTATTGAGGAAATATTTCTGTTTCAAAAAATGAGCAGGCCTGATATACCAACCCGCCCCCCACACCTACACAATAAAAAACACAGCAACAAGGATGTTGTCATTCCAAGTTCAAGGCCCTAGCAATGTTGCACAGCCGTGATCGGCCGTTTAAAGACTGATACTAAAGCCTCAACCGTTCCTCCATGCAAACTCCGAAAAGATGATAAAATCCAAAATGTACCGATGAAAGCCGTATCAACCGTATCAAGCCACTGTATGAAACCTCGGAGACTTTCTTGAGGAACCCAGCAGACCTTCTCAAAATCCATATATTACATTCCTAAACCCTAAATTTCAATCACTAAGCCCTAAACCACAAAGCGCAAAGGTATGTGTTTCTCTCCTTTGGGCACCCGGGCGCACGAGACGCTGCCGCGCCCGAGAGACGTCCTCGGGTGCCAGGAGCCCTCGGAAAGATTCGGTTCAAGGCTTACCTTCGGTTTAGGGATTAGGGTTGAAGGGCTTTGGGGTTTAGGGTTGAAGGGGTTTGGTTTTAGGGTTTCGGGCTGAAGGGGTGTAGGATTTGCCGTTGAATTGTGCATGCCCGTTGAAGTCATGCGTCAAAAGGCTTGCTCCAGTGCTTCGTACATTTCGATTGGCTGTTGCTCCTGCCCTGCTGCCCTTGCCCTGCCCCTGCACCGCTGCCCTGCCTGCTTTGTCAGGGCAGGGCAAGGGCAGGGCAGCGCAGGGCACCGCAGAGAAACAAGCTCTTTGCCAGGTTGCATGGCCATGTGGCCATGACGAAACAATTTGACAATAGTCAGTACTATAACATAACTTGCCAACTGCTTTGGAACGAACCTGCATCAAGAGATTGTCCTTTGCATCTGCATTTGACTTTACTTTTCCGTCATCTGCTCTTCAAATCAAGATACATTGCCCTTAGCAACTCCCATCTTTTTTCAGAAGCTGTGTGCAACACTCTGCTGGCAGCCGGCAGGACATCACTTGAGCGAAAATGCCCGTTCGCGGACGGCCGCTTTAGCCCGAGAAAGTCTCACTTTAAGCGACGCCGAGTATTGGCCAGGCACCTCGCCGCCCGTCGAAGTCGAAATCTCTTGCGCAGCAAGACGTTACCCAGGAAAGCGAATAGGCGTGGCATGGTCGAAATGCCTGGAAGCCCCGCCATATCCCATCTGATCCAGCAACCGCTCACGAGCCTTCTTCTTGCGACCAGGCTTGCGCGTTCCACCGCTGATGGCCCCGCCCCGTGTCCTGCACTTCGAGCGTTCCCCATATATGGACAGCTTCAGACTTCTATACGTCATTCTTCCTGCGAGCTTGGTGGCACTTTAAGATTTAAGACTTTCCGAGTCTTCGCCTTTTGCGCAGCCTGTTGTGTTGTGCTGACGAAAAGCTTCCAGCGTCAACAACATAAACAACGCACCGGCTCTGCCTGGCTATATTGCGACCTCTTCTTACCGCGGCTTCTTGCCAAGATTTGACTTGATCACGAGCCTTCTTCGGCACACAGGTGGCCTGCCCAAGATGAACAAAGGAATCGGACACGCTTGAGTGGCAAGATATGCCAGATACACGTGCAGTATCTTGCAAACCCATGCCTTCAGGACCTTCCCAAGGCGTTGGACTAGCGCCCTCAACCGGTCGTCCTGCGGAAAGCCTCTCGTCTCCCTCGGCCAAGTCTGTTCTGGCTTACTAGCAACCTGTCAGCACAAGCCCTTCATGAGAAGCGCGCCGTTCCGAAGCTGGACTTCTGATTCGTTTCGGCCTCCACACGGGCGGGCCCGCAGAATGATTTCCAGTGTCATTTTTAACAGCAGCATCATTGTAGCACATGGGTGCGCGCCGCATTGTCCATCCATCCAGCATGTCATCCAGGCCCAAATACATGCTGCCCAGTTAATTTGGGACTTCTGCTGCTATGCGCACAAAAACGCATCGCGTCATACTTTTGCCCAAGTTGCCTCCGCAGAACACGGGGCGGCCATCATCGGAAACCCAAGTTTTGAGCAATCAATCCTGATCAGTTTAAACAGCCTCGCAACCCTTCTAACTTCTATATGCCTTCCTGTCCAGCTGTTTTCTCGCACCGTCGTTGCCAGCTCCATCGTCCTCAACATCACACCATTTCCAACACAACAACCCAATAGAATGAGCAAGTACGGGCACTTTCGAGATGTGGCGTGCTGCTACTGTTAACTTGCAGTCTTTGCTTGCGTGTGCCTCGTAGTACTGGGCCGGAATTGTGAGACGACTCCACCGGAGCAGTCGGCCGACGGAGTGCCTTGCAATGCGTCAAAGCCCGTCCGCAAGCGCAGTTTACGTCCTCTGTGCACCTAACAATTCGCGTCCATGTCTGGCTTTGGGTACGCCTCCTGCAAGTCACATCCGAGACAATCCGCTGATTGCAGTTGTCCACTCTTACTCTCTTCCCGCCATCGGAAAGCAATCGGCGGAACTGCTACCCAGAAGTCCCCCAGGATGGTACCAGCCAAAGAAAACTCTCGGAGTTGGAGGCGGTAGCCGCAGTTGGAGAGAAGGTAGGGGCCACCTTGCGTGTGCGACAAACGTCTATCAAGTCGCAACTCACAAAGTCCAAGTTTTCCCACGAAGATGCACGTGTGAGCAGGAAACCTAGCTTGGCTCCAACGGATGCCATGTGGCGAAAGATCCCACTTGCCGACAGAAGAAGCCACTGCGGTGAACAGCCTCCAATGACAGCTTCCTTCCGAGGCTGTCTGCCCAGCTCTTGGGGTCCGCATCAACCACGCGGGGCTCACCACGAGCGGCATCCTTGTTGCATGAGTCGCGCTCTTACCTTTTCGAAGCATGCTCTGCAGATCCCCGCGCCGAAATTCAAGCAGACCGTCTCCTTTCCGTGTTGGACTTCGCCATCGCGGAATAAATGGCTTGGACCATTGATCCTGTCGATATCTGTACGTTTAAACCGTGCTCATCACTGGGCCAACATAACCAAACCTGCAGCATTCCCGTTCCTGGCGCCGGCGTTCCTGAACTCACTGGTCATGCCTTTTCCAACCTCGCATCACCCGGGGCACCCATTTGGCTAACCCACAACCTCCAAGCCCTAAACCCTAAATCCTGAAACCTAGAAACCTTTTTGAAGCCAGTCTCGAGGCTAAACCCAAAGCCCAAGCCCTAAACGCTGAAGCCGAGGTTTGTCAAAGGGCTCGTAAAAGGTGGGTGGAAGGAAGTTACCCCTAAATCCTAAACCCTACAAACCCCTGATCCCTAATCCCTAAACCCTAATTAAACTACACCCTAATCCCTAAACCCTAAACTACACCCGAATCCCTAATCCCTAGACCCTAAACTACACCCTAATCCCTAATCCCTAAACTACACCCTAATCCCGAATCCCCAAACTCTGAACGCTGCCGCAAGTTCACACTCGCCACTCTTTTCCGGCCATGGAGTTCCCTCGGGGCCCATGTACCGTGTACCTATTTGGTATATGGGTAGTTTTCAAAATTAGGGTCGATTTTGGGGATCCTTTTATAAGGGTGCCGTACCGTATTGGGGACCTAAAAAGGGCCTGAATTTAGAGAACTACTCATATACTGCGGCTCTGAAGTACTTACATAGGGAACAGATTATGGCCAATGTATATACAGCTATATACTCTATGGGTATATGAACCCTGATGGGTTGAAGTTGATGTTGAAAGTCTTAGTTTGCCGAGGAGGAGGGGGAGGAGGTGTAGGGACCTTAGAAGAAAGAAGCGGGTTTTGAGGTAGACTTTACGATGATAAGGGGCAGCCCATTAGAATAAGATTACACTTCCCTCAACCCTAAGCCCTAAACCCTACTTGATTGTGATCTCACGTACATCTACCCCTCCAACTAAGGCTCTTCAAAAGCCCTACAAATACATTGTAATGTCTAACAAGCCATGAACCCTAAACCAAAAACCCTTAACCCTAAACCCTAAACCCTAAACCCTACGTCAAGCAGGCCGCCCAGATCTTCCAAAATTCCTGAGCTACGGAGTATGCCTTACATCATATTCGGGGTGCCATTACATGTTAAGGTAATGTAGGGGCCTCAATAATTAGAATAGGGTTTGAGGGTATATTATGCTATACTTAAGCTACGGAACCCCAAAATAGTAAGGTAATTTGTTAGGCCCTACATTATATTCCTTAATATTGAGGGATTTAAGGGATTTTGGAAGGTCTGGCGTAGCCGATCCACCAGTGACCGAGCCCAATGCCGATCTGCTCAGAGAGGGCTGGCCGGACGAAATCGAGCTCCTCAGGATACAGGGTGTAGGGTTTAGGCTAAGGGTTTAGGGTTTAGAGTTTAGGCTTAAGATTTAGGTTTTAAGATTTTAGGGCTTTGGGGTTTTATGGTTTTAGGGTTTAGGGTTTAGGCTGGGGTTAGGTGAATTATGATTTAGAGGGAC